GCGAAAAGTGGTTAATTTCGACGACGAGACACAGAGAAGGCGGCGAGCGGAGGGCTTCGCGCACAGCATCCACGGGGCGAGGGTGGGAATGTGGAATGATCCCCGACGGAACGAGGAAAACGTAATTGCGCTCGTTCGAGACGAGACGGTCTCTATTAATTCGTGATCGCTGCTGAATAATAGATACCGGATAATTCCAGAAACTAGGACGAGTCGCAATCTCTGTTTTTCCCTTTTTTGCAGAATCGAGAGGAAAAAATGTCGGGAAAAAGTGCCGCCCGGGAGTCTAATTCCATATTCTTTCCATAAATATTTAACATACGGTCTGCCAAACTTTTATTTTGTTTTTACTTTTTTATCCGTAAATAGTTTATGCGATACTTTTTGCGAACTTATTCGAAACGTTCCTCGTAGCACAGCATAGGAAAGCGAAGATTCGAAAGTCGCGATGCCGAATAGTTTGCGAGGCACGCAAGAGTGAACGTGGCGACGGTAAAAGCTATCCTCGCGCCTGTTTTGCAAACAATACCCGCGGCTTCTCCGAGGCGTATCGCGGAAATTGCCGCCGCGCCTGGCAAGAATACGGGAAACTCAGTTTGCGAACTCTGTCTTCGAGTTAACTTCGGACACAGGGACACCCCAGCCTTTACGAAAACTCCGGGCTACAGGAGGGAATCAAATTGCCGATGGAATAAGCGTCGTCCGTTCCCAACGACGCGGCACCTGTTCGCCAACTTTTCACGAATTCGCCGTGTCGACGATTTAACGCGTCGAGGAAAGGGCGAAGGCCGACGATCGATCGACGTATCGGCGCGCGGTGGAACAAACAAAAATTTTCAGCGCTTGTTACGAGCCAGACTTTGGACAATTTTTCTTTCGAACCGAGTTAAATATTGTTCGCGCGAATAAAATGGCGTATTCTCGCGATCGCGCCTACTATCGCTGTTAAAAATGCGCCTAGCGACGCGCGTTCGGCCTGGTTAATACCGACATCGATGTCAACGCGATATTAATACTAGCGCGATGACTAGCGTTTATCAACGCCTGCTCCTCCTCCACGTCTCCTCGCGTGGGGGAATTCCCGTGGTCACCGGGCGAGCACAATCAACCGACCAACCCCCGGGGGAATAACAATGATCGTATTCATCGCGTGAAAAACAACATTCCACCACCTTAGGCTTGGGTGATTTATGCACTCCGCGGACAGGTACCGCTCTATTTACGAGCCAGCAATCTCCATAAATAAAAATGGATTGTTTCTTCACGTGGCGCTGCGATAGTGTTCCGTGTTATCTTACGCTCTCGCGCGGACAATCGGTGATCAGGCTGCTTCCCGGGTAAATATAGCTCCGGCCTTCGCGCGGACAACGCGAGCAACAATGAGCTCCGATTACCCTCGACGAAACGGGAGTTGTGCTAATTGGCCGCGCTCCCGCTCTGGCCGGATTGATCCGTCGCTCTTCTGAAACAGCGTTTTCACGCTGAAAATCATTCGGAAACCGTTTCCAAAAATTCGCGTTCCCCACAGGATCAAGCTGCGAAGAAACACGAGAATCGTCGGCGTTCGGTCACACCCGTTAAACAGGTTCCATGGAAAGCACTTTATCCCGAACGGACGTCTAGCTCGAGACAATTAAACGCACCGTGCAAACTCGCTCGACTCACCCCTGGGAGGAGTTTGGCGGTCAGGTTGGTGTAAAAAGAAACGGGGTGGAAAGTAAGCAAGGGTGAAATCGAACTACGATCACCGCGGAGAAGGTATTTTCCCTTCGATTCCATTTTCCAACCCCCCGTTGGAATGGGATCCCGCTAATGTAACTGCCAGCTCGTCGACAACGACCGAGTGGGAAGGGGACGACTAGGGCCCCCTCCGGAAAACGAATGAAAAAAAATGTAATTACAACGGGGAATGATAATGAAGTTTACATTTTAATAACCCGCCGTGTCGCCAGATGGTCTCGAATGCAATATTAATACCGCTCTCGCGTTCACGGCTACTGTACGCGACGACGACCGCTGGAAAGGTCCAGCTCGAGCCAATGTGACTCGGCGTCCGTGTGCCTGGCTTTTGCCAAGAGATGGCAGACCTTCACGTACGGGGTGTGAAAAAATATTGAACGAGTCCTTGTAAAACCCGTGGAAGCGAAACGCAGAAAAAGCAAAGAAAATTCAAAAATCAATTCGAATACCTAGATCACATACGACACAAGCCGAATAATCAACCTTGATCTTCAAACCCAAACCCGGGTCAATGCTACACGGTATCTTTTACCAAACGTTCACCGACCGGTGCGGTGACAAAGACCTTCATCGTCCTTAAAAATCGTATCCCATAGTTGTTTCCCACCCTGTACACGAAAAGAAGGAGAAGACGAGGAGAGAATGCGCGCGAGGCGTTATTGCATTTCGCAAAGAATGCAGTCCACGGCGTCATAATATATTTGCGCCGCCGCTGGCCGACCCGAGGCTACACGTCGACTCCGACGCGTCGACGACTCGACGCACGGCTCCCCGACGACGACACGAATCTAATTTATAAGTTATGAGTCTGTCCGTGGCCGACGATCGTCCCGCGATATTTTTTCGCGTCATCGCCATCGAGGCACGGCCGGGCCAACGGGCGACTTTCAATTTGCAACTGTATCCACGCTGTCACGAATCACGGGACCACTCGTAACACGAGACAGATTTACGGGTGGTTTCGCGAATATCTGCAGAGACGGTACGCGAGTTCGCGAGGGATTTATTTATTTTTCGTTTTCGTTAGCGATAAACACGATCCAGCCGATAGGCGGTCGGTTAATTGGGATTTAACGGGACAGCTGCGAGCGAATCTGATTGGAATTGGATGCCGCGGAACGCTACGGTTTCAACACGGTTTAAGAATTTCAACACTTGGATGCGATCATACCAAGACTAAGAATCAGCCTTTCAACTGGAACCGTGAAACACGCGGACATCGAATTTTCAATCAATTATCTTTGAAACTATTTCTGCAAAGAGATAAAGAAGCTCTAGGAAATAAATACGTGTAGGAGGAGAGGTCCTCCCAAGCACACCCTGTTCAGGTATACGTTCACGATCAGCCGATTTTCTGAACCTGCCACCTCTCTCCATAAAAAAGCATACCGTTCGACCCATCTTGCTTTACCTTTTCGAATAATCTCGCGATCGAACGCAACCTTAGTCGACTTTCACGGTAACGAGGTAAAATCGTGATGGTATTCACCGATATCTTTAAACCGTCTAAAACTCGACAAGCTTTAACGAGGACAGTGGACTGTCTCTCAAACGAAGCTCCAATCAACGCGAGATCTTCGAGCAGCTCCGTTCGAACCTATCGGTGGTCCGAATCTGAGAGGGAAAAAAGGTGAAGTAGCCGCACGCGATGAGCCCTTAACTAGATCCACGTAGGTGTTCCAGCAAGATTTTCCCGTAATTATCGAATCTCGTCCGAGCAAGGTACGGGTAGGTGAAAAAGGAGGATCGCGAGGAAGAGAAGCAAGCAGCGCTAGTTGCGAAATTAAATGGCTGACGGCAAGAAGTAAGTGCCCGGGATGATTAGAGAGCAGGAGTAGAAGATACCGTTCATTAAGTCATTTTGCACAGTCGAACCTCCCGCCCACTCCGGGAGGGCTGGCTTTCGCCGTGGCAGGCGTTGCAAAGCAAACTGGCTGCCAACTCCGTTTTGGTAAAAAGTAACATTAGCCGCGCCGAGAGCCCGCAGCGGGCACGAGGAATCCCTTTCTCCCGTTTCGACCGTGACTCCTCGACGAATCGTCCTCCTCGGTTTCCATCGACCGTCACCCTTCGTTCGACACCTATACAGGCTGATACCAAACCGATTACACGATCGTTACAATACTTATCTTACTTTTGTAATTTGTAAATACGGTCGACGAGTCTGCGCTGAAATTGTCTCACCGAAACACTAACAACTAATTGCTCTCGACGCTTCTCCGTTTCGGATTCTCGACCATTCTTTAATATCTTTGTCTCGCGACGCACAATGCGAATAGTAGATTTCCCAGTGGGACTTTGCCAGCACCCTGTACACCCTCTGTCTCTACGCGAATGCTAGCTGTTTGACCCTCCCCCGCCATTTTCCGCGTGAACTAGCGCGAATGTATTTAGGACCGTTCCAGTGCACCCGGCTTTGAGCTGGCTTGATGCTAATTAAGCTCCTCTCCAAAAGTTTACCGAACTCCAAGCTTAAGCGTTTACTGCAATTTTGTAATCTGGAGCGGCTCGGTCTGGACTGGACCGTGCCGTTAAATTATTATCGTTGATTCAGTTTACCCGGGCAACTTCGGACCTGAGCAATATCGCATGGAAATACACCGTCTGAGATACTTGAGACGGAGACACTTCCCGGGCAATCGCGTCCATGCTTATAACTAGCGATGGAATGAGCCAACCGAGGAATAAGCTTCGATTCTAACCAGTTGGATTCTAAGTAAATCAAATATTTTTCACGATAAATAGGAATCTAAAAATCACTCATCGGTTCGGGTTCTATTAACAGTATGGCTTAAAAATATATATTTCACGTATATTTATTTCGGTTTTTGGTAGTCTTCGTCGGAAGTTTGCTGGGACACAAACCACCACGATTATACCGATATTTTCAGCTTACATCTGAAGGGAACTTTATATAGAAATAGACGGATGAAAATACAGATCTGACGTCATACAAGTTTACAAAAATATTGGCTTAAAAACCGAGTCCAGCGTATCCACTGTCACGACTCGTTTTCGCTGAACAAGCTTTACGATTCTGTTATCGTTTATCCAATCCATAACCATTCGTTCAAAGATTTTGTAAGCGTCGATTACTTCAAAAATATATAAATATAGCGTAATTGTTTTCGTAATTATTCTAAACGAGAATCGTCGAGTCGAGTCCGATATCCAAGGCTCGCGGACGATAGTAGCCGATCGATCCGCGGAAGGTTGCTTCTTCGGAATTTGTTCCTAGTTTCGGTATCAAGATTACTTACATAATTTCCTTCTGGACTTGGAAATAGTTTAGTCGGTGTGCAGCATCATCGACGAGGATCCCTGCGACTGGTTGGAAGGTAAATTTTCGTTCGTGACGTTGGCCGGCGGGGTCGCCGGTCACAGGTCAGAGGTGTCGCGTATCTTCGTGTAAGACCGGGGCTCTGTTCTTTTCTTGGAAGCGCAGGCCTCCAATCAAAGACGCGTCATGGATCTTAACAAAGGACGAGCATAATTCATCGCGCGTATTGGTAGCCGATCCGACCCGGCGTACGGAAAGGGCCAAGTCTGAGAGAAAGGGAAAGAGCTGAAACGAGCGAGAAACTGGCGAGATAACAAACCGGGGAGAGAGCTCGCGGCTTTGCCAACCTAGTGAAATATGCACCCATATATCAATGGCGTGCATATCAATTGCCACTACTGCCAACTGGCATGACTGTAAAGCCCCGGCCAACTGCTCGGATGCTGACGAGCGCCGTGGAATCGAACGCGCGAGAAAACGAAGAAACCAGCCCCGGTCTCTGCCTCTCCTCTCGCCCTGAGTGCTTCCAGGGCCCGCGAGCCTGTTATTCGATCGGCCTTTATTAGCCATAAATTCGACATGATACGCGAGGAATATGATAATGGCCGTCAACTCGTTGGAGTTGCCCGTGCGCTCCCCTGATGCCCACCACTTGCGGCGCGTGGCGTATCGATCTTAATGTGTACATTTCGCGAGAAGCATTGGACGTTTTCAGGGGTGGTTGTCGCGAAGGGAATTCGCGTGACCCAGAAACCTAGGGTGAGCGTGAAATGGGTCGTTAATCGAGGAGAATGTGAGTGCTTCCGACTCGAAGGGCAACCAGAGATCATCGGTTAAATACCAAGAAATTATTTGTCCGGCTGTTTTTCGTTGATATTTCGTTTCACCGAATTAAACGCAAGAATAATAGTAGCATTTCGAAGAAATAATTTCGTCGACGGTTCCGGCGAAACGGTCGTCTCGTTTATCGCTCCAAACTTCTTTGAATTCAAGGAAGGTCCCTTCCGCGAAATGTTTAATATTCCCGGCAATATCTCTTGTCGCGCATCGCGAATATGCTGATTCTCCATCTCGTTCTTTATCTTTGCAAGCAAACTCACCTATTCTAATGCTCTTTATACTTCGTTACGAATCATTTGGAATCGTTAGGGTAGACTTAACGACGATGGTACCGATCGCGAGCCTCGCTTTTATACTATTCGTATTATCGCAAGTCCCTTCGCCGTCGTTTTTTGTTTGTTGCTGTACTCTTGCAAACGTACTTTATTTTCTTTACAGAGGTTGCAATTTCCAGATGAATCCAAAGTTCAAAAATATGGTTGAAAACATTCACGTGAATTTATGTAGTCGATGAATATTAAGCGAAACGCTCGCGCGACCTACATTGTGTTCGCTTTAAAATATGGACATGCAGGACTCCTGCATTCCATTTATTATTCTAAACGGTATCCTAACCTGCAATATGAAAAATTAAATTTCCGCAAACGAGATGATCTCTTACCAGAATATTAATAAAAAAAATCCGAGTTAATTTTCATTTTACGATGCTGTGAAATTTGTTGATTAGTTGCATGCAGGCATCATCTTTTCCGAAAACAAGTCGTGGATGAATGGTCGAAATGAATATCGCAAACAACGTTCATGGTAATCGGCTTGAAACTTTAATCTTAGCCGATTGATACCACATGCAAAGTACTTCGGGAACGTATGCGATACGATCCATTCCCAGAAATCGGCTCTCATGAATAGAGTTTCAAGCAAATCCTCTTGAAATCGTATTCATCGTCAAAATCTGAACTAAATTATTGTTCGACCAAATACTTTGAGTAGGATAGACCAACGTTCCTCGCCGGTGGCACACACCCAACGGGTTACAAAGGAGCAATTGCACCGTTGCTGAGAGTATCCCTTTACAAGCGTTTAAATGTTAATCGAGAAAAGTTCTAAAACCCATTTCAAATAATAGGTTAGGAGAATAAAATTCCACGCAAGGAAATCAAGCAAGCTTTCCCTTCATCTTCTTCGAATAAAGCTCGTTAACGCGTCCGAAAGTATCGCGACAAATTCGTCTACGTTAATTTCTACTTAGATCCCCCGTGTTAAAATTTCCCATCGCACCAGCGAATTTCGCGAATTTTTCCGCCTTTGACCGACGCGAAATTAAAAAGCTGTCCAAAGGTTAAACGAGCAGCTCTTAATAAAGCAGTGTATCGCGTGCGACGTTAGATAATACGGTTCCTGGCGAAACGATACATTAAATTCCTTTCGTTCGCTTTTCTCCCTTCTTTTCCCTTCTCCTTAACGAAGATTAAGCCGCGTCGTAGCTACGTTAAAATTATGTATCTCACGTTACGCTGGTTCGTATTACGGATCCGTTGGCTTCGCAGCTTTTTACGCGACACCATAAAACACCCGGCGCGGCAGCGCGGCTCGATGCCGTATCTCGCGTCTTCTAGGGTATTCATCGGCTGACGTGTAATGTGAAAATACGGAAACGTATTATCATTATGGCCCCGACGAACACAGAACGGCAATTATAATTAGGTCGCCAGCCGATGATAAGCCTTCTGGGAATGCGTGACTCTTGATAAAACCGGTGACATTTTTCCATACTCGCGTACCACAGTCGTGCTACGTACACGTGCACCGCTGAATAAAAGACCATTCAAACTTTTCTCCGCATTTATTCTTTAGGCGATTTCGCGAAACGCATTGAAATTTATCAAACGGTTATTTCATCGAGAAATGATCGCGATATCCGATATTGGTCGTTTGGTGGTCTTCCCGGGCAAAGGGCGCACAGTGGCGGTGGTTCGACGCTTGCTTCGGTTGACTCGCGCGCCGATTTATAACGCGTGGAATAGTGGGGGCGGTCTTCAAAAATCGATACGCATAGACATTGCACAGGAAGAATTTCTACGTCAGACGAAGCGACTTTGATATCCTTTCTACGATTTTCTCGGGCTTCCTTATTTCCGAGCGAATCCTCCGCCGCGTCTCGCCAACCAAATAAGTCGTCCTCTTTTGCCTCCTGATCCTCCGTCAGGTTTGCGTTTGTAAATCAAAAAGCCAAACTCTCCGAATGAAGAAACCGAATCAGCGGCACGGAAAAATCCTATCTTCTCTGGCGAGTTCATAAAATGCGAGCCGATGCACCGCCCGTATCCTCTGGCACGTATTCCGGCCAGGCAAAAACGTCTTTTGAAGTTTTCCTTGGTGGAGAGAGGCCAGAGGGTTCGCCATTGATTTAATGGGTGTACCTTTAGCCGCGGTTAAACACCACATCAAACCGCACCCTCCTAGCCGACTTCTTCCTTCCTACTTTGGGGAACACGCTTCATCCGATAAATGACTTCTGTACGACCGCTATCGTTCTCCAACGACCGCTCCCGGCCTCTCTTCGGGAACGTCAGAGTTTCGCTACGAAAATTTTCAACGACCGATCCTCCAATTTTTCCTCCTCTTCTGTTTTTGTTTGTTTGTTGTTTTATTAAGTTTGTTCGCGGAATTTTCAAGCGGAACTTTTCAGTTGATTCGCACTACATTTGAGCAAACTTTATCCGATAAATAACTTCCGTGCGACCGCTGCGCGCCAACCGTTTCACCCTCCGGATTCTTTTTTGACCGACCACGTCAAAGCTCGACTTTCATCAATGTTTACCAACTGCTTATGTTTCTTTTTGTTTCGTTAACATTGTTTGGATATTTTAATAGAACGTCAACTCGTGTCGCGTTCACGCAAACAGTGTCTCTACCAGTGATACTCAAGCTTTTCGAAAAATTCGAAAATATCCCATTTCCCTGAACACTCGGAAGACTTGATCTAGCCGGTTTGCGTACGCTACGTTTGCCTTCTCCGACGAGCTTCTGACCCAATTGCTTTGGGATAGCGCGACTCGGTGGATTGTTTAAAGTTTTCAGCGAAACAAGTTTCTTCCTTCTTCGTTTCTATGGCGTTTGCAGAATGAATCGATCGGTCTCTGGATCGAGGGTCGTCGAGAAGAAAAAAAAATGTCGCGACAACCTCGGCGATGGATACGACACCGAATTCGTACTATAGATAGGATTCTATAAATTATGATCCAGTATACGAAAGGTGTAGATGTCAAACGGAATCGGTTTCCTTTCGTTTCGCTGCTTATCCGTTCTCTGAAAATACCACGCGAGCATCGTCACACCTGTTGGGAAGCACTGGCTTACGGTTGGCGTATTCCCGTCCGCGCGTGTCGCCACCAACACGAACGCCTGGGATAGCCGGCATACGAGGGATGTGTAAGATTCCAGCCGCCCACATAGCGACAAATTGTTGCTCAGCTGATCGACCGAGCCCCCCACTCGCTTAAACTTTAAATCTTTTTCGGCCGCGATTGTGTACGAGTGCCGCGATACACATTCGCGACGTACGCCTGCGAACGAAAGCCTCGGTGATTCATGCGGCACGACGCCCGACCATAATGACAGTCCGGTGGCAAATTGCCGGCCCCGGGACGGTTTCCAATGATTTATCGGGCATCCGCCACCCGTGCGCCCAACGATAAAATGCGATTGTTCTACTTGCGATAATGATTGGCTGGTGTATACCAAGCGATGGGGACTGATACGGTCAGGTATTCATGATACTCGAGCTGCGAGATAACCAAGTATGTACTTATGGTCGTTGATCAAATTATTAGAGACGTCGAGGAAAAAAGACAGGCCTTTATCGAGATCTGCTCGAGTAATCGGGCATTATCCGATGACTGCCTTTAATGTTGGTCCGAGTATTCGTATTCGTATTCGGACAACGTTAACCTCGCGGCGGATACTTTACTTTGATCGGCCGGATTTCCTTGTAACTTTGGTACGTAGAATATTTTAGAAACGTGTCCGGTAGAAACGTTAGCTTTAGCTAAGTTTGCCGTCGCGTAAAAAAGGTTGGGAAGCACTGAGCGTAGGGTACCACCGACACAGGCAGCGATCGCACCGATTTGTCTGGTCGCCGTCGGAGAAAACGGAGTGGCTGTCTGCCGCTGGCTTTTCGCCATACGCCCACGCAAGATCCCCTTCCGTCCGCGCGCGCCCCGTTCACCAAACATGTCCCGAACTTAGAACAACGTCGCCACGCTAATCCCGCAGATATCCCAGCCAGACGCGCCTGGGAGCGATTCTTTTTCCTGTGTTTCCCTACAGCTGCCTCCGTCGTGGATCTCTCTTTCCGCGTACTCACGCGGATTAAACGGGCGGAAAAAGCGCGGAGCGCTCCTCGTCTGGACCGGGCGTGCTGCCTTTCGAGAGCATCGACCGTCCTTCAGGCGGCCGATATTTTAATTAGATTAGCCTCTTCGAATGGTAATACGCGTGGCAGTGCGTCGGCCCGACCGACGAATACTAAGAAAACAGGTAATTTGACCAACTGAAAACTTTCCTGAGAAAAGAGATGCCCCTTATTTTCCCTGCCTTGCCGTTTTCTACTATTTTTCGGTGCAAATTTTACGAGGTGTACCACATTTCCAAGTGAACGCGATTAATGGAATATTCAATTTTAAACCAGAATCCTGCAGTAACGCGTTTCCACGCGGTCCACCGTAATCATTGGTCCAACGTGATAAGCCATCCTGTAAAGGGCGTTTTAATGCATAATTACGCGCGGGTGTGTATGTTCGTTGACCGGGGAATTGAAATAATTAGCCAGATATAATTTAATTGTCAAGCCACTAGATCGTAATCATGTTGTATTATACAAGTGTATCGGTACCCATCACTGATTTGCGAATTTTCGAAACTAGGTAACGGTAAACAGAGGGAAATCGACTCGGTTAAGTTACTATTTACTCGTTTGCGATGTTCCTTGAAATTAGAGAAATTTTTGTGTATCGCGAGAATGACAAATATTCAAAAGCACCTAATCGTCGTCGTTGTTGATAAGAAGACAAGCGGCGAGACGACGGGACGCAGCACCAGTTGCCTAATAAAAACCGTTTTAAACCGAAAGGAACGTCGCCAACGCTAATCCCGAGCGGATCTTTGAGCGCGGATGGGCTAAGAAATAATTGTCCTCGTTTTTGTCCGTAGTTACGCGGATCAGTGGACGCTAATTTATACTCATAGCGGACAAAAAAAAAAAGCCGTGAATGTACTCTAGAAACAACGAACCACCCACTGAAGGCAGAGACAAAGAGGGAGAAGTAATCTACAGGCTTACGAAGTCGGCGACGGATGACGAGATATATTTTACGAGGTTTGCGTCAAACATTGACGCCAGACGACGACCATTGCCCGTGTGTATTTTCCTCCACTTCTTCGTCTTCTTCTTCTTCTTCTTCGTCTTCTATTTTTTCCTATACCGTGAACATTTATTTGCAGCTGGTGTCTTATAAATAAACGTCGAAGACGTTTGTCTTGACGATGATCCCTAAATCAACGCGCGAACGATCGAACCGGTCCCTTTTGTTTTCGAAACAGGCCTCGAGAAAGGAATGGAATGAAAATAACCGTCGGGAACGTTGGCCGCTGCGTCGGACGGTCCTGGTGTTTATTACCACGCGAAATTCCGCGGTAGAAATCTCGACGAACGTCGTCTCGGATAAGCTTTGCACAGCGTTCGAACAGCGAACCGACGTTGTTTCGCAATTTCCGTGGAAAAGAAACATGTACCGCCTGTACGCGGAATTAACTGCACAATTCATGGCTTAATTGCGATTATAGTTATAAATGTGCGCGGAAATTGAACGAAGAAACGGAAGGTGTCACAGGGTAAAAATACGCGGGTCGATAAAAATTGATAACGAGATAGAAATTGGAAGGTATCGGTATCCAAGATGTTATCGTCGAGAGATCACGATTCTTAAGTACACAACCGTTCGCGAGTTTGAAATCACCGCTTTTATTGCCCCCCTTCTCGAGTAGAGTAAACGGACAAGCGTAATAAGCATTAATCCGCATCGAGAATACCGTTCTGATAATCGTTTTATAGTAGAATATAAAGTCTACGGTCGTCTGTTGTAGCTGGATTAAGTAACAAGACAAAGGGGTAAGATTAAGATAAAACCTCAAACGCGAAATATCCCGCTTGGTATATTCCAATTTAACCTACGTTCCGACGTGGGTGCAAAATAGTACCCAAAAGACACTGTAGGTGAAAAAACGCAAGAATTCGTATTGCAATCTAATGGATGAGCACGTCTAACCCGGTTCTGTTATATCGAGACAAAGACTGCCTGAATAGGGAGCGTTCGCCGTTGAATAACAGGCTTGAAGACTCAATTAGCAGACACCGAGAGCAGTTTTCGTGGGTGCGAGGCGGCGAAGAATTACTAAAACGGCTACCAGCGAGGGAAACGTTCACGGCGCGACATCAAAGACGTAATTCTCGCGGCGTAATATCAGCTCCGATGTCTCGACACCCGACGGCTATACGTGTATAAAATGGGTCGGAGTCGTTAAAACAGTAGGTGGGACACGTCTACTTCAAAAGCATACCGCGGGAGCCCCGGCTGCACCAAAGTCCGCATACTTCCGCGCCAGTATTCCACCGGGGGTATCTCCTTAGCCGGCACGTCGAGTTACACCCCGTGAATTACAACCCCTCGAGGATGCGTCGTCGGCGCCTCGTTAAAACCTGCGCGACGCTCAGCGCGACGCCGCGCGCCGCTTTCACCGTTGATCAGAGCCGCGCTGTCAAAAGATTACACTTTGTAAGAATCGATTTTATTTACCGGAGATGCAATCTATACTGTCCAAGTGTCGTCGACGAGGGTATCGATTGCGGCATTTAGGGAGGTACGCGAAATTTAGTCGGTGCGTAAATTTTTATAACGTGGAAACAATCTCGTTGACCTTCCGAAACGACAGCGTGCACGGAAAAGGAGAAATGAAAAAAAAAAGGTGAAAACAGAGGAGGATCACGCGAATCGTGACAGTGAGCGATCGCATCGATACGTCGCGATTCCTCGTCGCGATAGAAACGGTTCTTGATAAAATACACGCTGCTTTCGACCGGAATAATATTTTCGTGCCCGAACGATGGCGAGATGGCTGCGCGCGATTGCAACGCGCGACGAGCATTCTTACGGATATTGCGTACGTGGGAATAATGGGCCGTACGATAATTACTTCTACCGATTAAATTTTGCAATTACTCGAACGTTGCATCCGATTGCAATTACTTACTTCGTACCGATTACATTTTCTTTTTTCATACAGCCTGTTTATTCACAGGTGCATTTACAGCCTGAAATAAGAGCAAAATCGAGAATGACGAAATTATACTTGACGCATCTATATCTATACGATATTGGCTTCGATCGAGAGCTCCTCGCGCAATTACGATCATCGTATTTCCATTTGTCAGTTACGAGTGTAACAGTCGACCTCCCGTTCTTGGAACGGACACGTGAGATATTCTTATCTTATAATTTGATTTCTTGGAGATCAGAGCGTTGAAAGTTTAATTCGTATGATCCGCGAGTGTTTACCACAGTGGAAAGAATTCTAAAAGGTTGAATAGAAATTTCAGCCGAAAGTGATACGGGGTGAGTCGAAGAGTCGAGCAAAGGGAAGATTCTCATCGACGATATGTACTTAATCCCTCTGCTGAATTGATTTTCATTTGCTGACGTGAAAATTCGTAATAATAATTCTCGCAAACATGTTGGTGAAACAAAACCGAAGCTTCGTTGAAATGCCGAGCTGGTAAAGGGTTGCTGAGGTTTCATTATAAATTTTCTACGTCGAGAGAGTGAAAATTACTTTGGGTCAAATGAACTCGAACAAAGCGGCGAGGTTAAAGGGCAGCGGGTATATGATTTCCCTCGATGGCGCGGTTTTAAACGTGTACAGGGCGGTTCGCGTAATGAGACCGATGCTCGTGTTTCTAGACGTTGAGAATCGATTTCCAAACTTTGTGACTTTTTTCTTACTGTTATTATCGATATTATCGATTCGTTTTCTAGACAAACTTCCCAAAAACGCTCTTCGCTTTTTTGTGCACTTCGCGGAACGAGAAAGTGCCGTGGCGCAACAGCTTTGGATCGCTCACGGCGAGACTCGCGATGATCCATCGCGGGCCGCGCGCGGGGGTGCAGGGCGCTCGCGGATGGAACAATGCAAATAGCGCCAATTACGTCAATCCTGAGAAATGGTTGACCAAGGGTGGGCAAGGCAACGGGAAGGAAAGACGAGGATCGAGAAAAGCAACGTAGGAAGAACGCTGAGAAGTCAGGAAAGGGTACGGAGGTGGGTGGATGCGCGAGTGGCGGGGGCCGTGGGCCGTGGGCCATGGCGGCGACTCGAGAGCTCGTGCAACGGAATGCATGCGCGATGCATTAGGTAATGATATCGGCATTATGGCCGAGCGAACGAAATGACGAACGGGCCGACGGATTGGAACCGGGGCCCATCGGGGGCCCCATCGAAGGAGGGCCACGGGGTAATTATACAAGCAAACAAGGGGCGGTCCTACCAAGATTATAGGGTTCCTCGAGCTGGCCTCTCCGTCCTGCCGTGCACCCCTCTGGCCCCCTGTTTGCCCGTAATTACAGGGCCAAACTGCTCTCCGCGGCAATCCCCCTCCATCTCGAGAATCTCTCGTCGAGAGATGCCACCCGCTAGTCTCCTTTCCGTTTTCTTATTCTTGCTCGTTCCGATCCCTTTTTTACTTTCTTTTTGTCTGCTCGATACACTTTCATCAGTCGACAAGTATCGCTTCATTTTCGAGAAAACCCGACTACGTTTAACGCGTCGAACGTATGGATCTAAATATCGGCATCCTCGATCGAGGGGGACGTCTCCAGTGGATAGCAAACCACGCGTGGCTCGTTTTAAAGGCGACTCGCCCAGACGTACGTACGAGGAATTCAATTTGTTCCTCTGTCGCAATTACGGAGTCAAATTGTACTTGCCGGCGTCCATGACCCTGTACTTCTTTTGCCACTCGTTGGAAATACCATCGGCCTCTCTCTCTCTCTCTTTTTCGTCTATCCTCGTTTTTCGCTTTGCCCCGAAACCGCCATGACACGGCGGTTCAATTCATCAAGTCCCCCGAAAAAATTTGTCAAACAACGAATGACGCAAAAAGTTAAACGAACCCTGACGATACGGTATCGTTGGTACTTTTCGTTGGCCAAATTCGATCCTGACTTTCTTTTTCACGGTAGCTGTCGACGGTCTCCGGGCGTATAATTTTGTCAAATTTAAAATATAACCCACTTTGCGAACGACATAGCAGGTGAAGATATTCTCCGATGATAAAGTCTCGTGAAAACAGCGAAACAGGCCCGAATTACAAGATCAGCGACAAAGTTGCGTCCTGTAATCTGGCAGACATTCAAGTACGTTTAATCGTACGTCGAGGAAATTAACGCGATCACGCTACGCCCTTGGTAGACGCAAAGATATCGGTATATTAATTTTAAATCCTGTTTTTACATTACCGAATGCTCGCGTCGAAGCAAACAGCTTGTATCTCATCCACCGAGCATGCACAATATTTATGTTAACGTCATAGGAGTGAATCCGTGAAAACGTGCAACCTTTTCCGCTGCCTGGTTAGCATGTAAGACATCCAAGCAATGAAAAACGTACGCATTTGCGTCAAAGTGCAGCACATAGCGAGAAAAAGTCGACGATACTTTATTCGTGCACGCATTCGACTTTCTTATCGCTTTTAAGTCCAGAGTGCCCCTTGCGAGACACGAGTTCAACTTTATTGGACGCGAGACAACGGCAGGGTGTTCATCGAGAATTCAACTGCAATCGACGCTTTCAACGAACACTCCGACTACGACTACCGACGAATTAACTTTTCACAAAAGAAAATGCAAATATTCACGCCTGAAATGATCAAGTTTCCATTCTTGTGATCTCGTCCCCGTCGAGCTGCGAACTCGACTCTCGACGAATCGATATCGAAAACGAGCCGTACGAGGACAGGTTAAAGATACACCCGAGCAGCGTCGAGTTGCACCGCGTGAAATTAACGTCTAGTTTTACTTTTATTCATTTTTCGCTCTTTTAGAATTCGGGAGCCTGTTTCGAAGCAACTCCAAGAGTCAGCTGTTCCAGAACCTAGTGGGGATGACTCTGTGACGGGAATAGAGTTTGAAAATTTTTCTCTGCTTACACGGATGTATCGCGTATAAAAAATTTAAAAACTATATTTCGCGTCGAGTGACTCTGTAAGAGTATCGTACAACCTGACACGGTTGCATTTCGATTCGAGTATCGGCCTCGGGGTAACAATTGCCAATTATAGCTAGCGCGAACCTGGCATGTCGGATCTTTCCAATGCAACATTTTCATGCGTGGCTCGTCATCCGATAACACGTGACAATCAAAAACACAAGCACGGAAAATTTAGCTTCTTCGACCAGAAACCGCTTCCGGCGTAAAAAGAGAATTTCCATCCCCCTCTAACCCCTCGATCTCGCGAAGCCCAGTTTTCCGTATTCGCGACACGTCGCGTCGAGCGTTATTTTAACCGAAATTGATGGCGAAACATCGGATATTTCAGCAACACCCATCGACTCGGGCAACACCAGCGGCCGTGTGTTCATCCCAAGTTCAACGTTGGCGACAAAGTTCCATGAAATCCTGCATCACCGTGACGCGTGTTTCTGTTCAGACTTGTACGGCTCGTGCTCACTTCGCCGCCTACTTCGACCTACTTTCGAGCCTCGTTTCATCCCTGCTGGGAGTACGGTGGTCACGAAACCGACAGGCCAATTTAAATATTTTATATGCAAGGCAAACATATTTCTAAAAGTGCGTTAATTCAGCTAACTGGTCACACAACGGAGAAAAACGACTAGAGAAGTGGAACGACGGGCTGACATACTTTTCGAGGGTATTTTCCGGATAACAACGATCATTTCGAGACTCTTTCGCGGAATTTTAGACGATATCCATTCCCGTTAGAAGCATCTCTTGCAAACTGTTTCTTAAAAATGAGACCGCACAGGCACGATTCGCCGCGAATCTCCCATTTATCATTCGCTAATAATAAATAATCGCGAAACGTAGATCTTCGGTATCCTCTGGTGGTCTTATTGCGTACAGTATTCTTGGGGCGCAACAGACTCCTTTCCCCGAGCCACGGATCCAGGCTTCTGAAAATCACATGGATTCGCATCCTCTCTCGATTCCCTCTCGTGGTATCACTCGATCAGAGAGTGCACGGTGAATCGTATTTCCGATATGCGGTTTTTGAACCCGCGGTTTTCCTCCTCGCCGCAGAGGAGGTAAAACCGTGTCTGATACGTGTACAAAATGATCCACCCACGTTCCGTGCATTATCCTGACAGAGATACTTTGTCGTTCGAGGGACTGAATCGTGCTCTCCGCTCCGCCCGTCTCGTGCCCTCGACTCTTTTCTTCTCGTTTTTCGGCTTTTGCTGTTACTTTTTTTTATTTATACTTGGAGGTTTCGCAACGTTCGGGCGACGACCTGCTTCGGATGTCAGGAAGGAACGTTTCCCCCGCTGTCACCGTTTCGTCTGCTCGTAAAACAAAGACCGGTGCCCCGGTGTCGTTCACGTTGCGTTTATTCAAATGAGAGGCTTGTAATTCGGAAATTCACCGCCCAGTCGAACGGTCGACCAGTGGCGGACCTGAACCGTTCGAGACCCGAGGGTTGTTTCAACTTTTCCGGGAGCTGATCCATTTCTG